TTCTGCACAAATCCTGCTAATAGATTATTGGCTACCTTTAATGTAGCACAAACCCCGGCATAAAATTTCCAACACTGATTTAGGGGGATTAAATTGGTCATTCATCAATTCTTTCTTTAATTATTAAAATCTAATGTAGTGTTCCTATTCGAATATTCACATTAATTAACATATTCGAAATTGGTGTCAAATAATTTTTATATATTACTATTTAAATTTAGAAACATTTGGATAGTTAAACATCAATTACCATGCATACAGGCATGCTAGTAAAATGTAGTTTTTATATTTTTTAAAAATTTATATGAAATGTTGTTACATTAATAAAAAAAATAAAGTATATATATTAATATTATAATTACAATATATAATATCTGAAAGTGTTATTATTACGAATATTTGAAAGTGTTACAGATATTCGAATATGGAGTTAGAGATATGAATAGGAACACTAATCCAATGCAATTAAAAATATTGGTAGTAATAATCAATGGATAATAAGTTCCAATTGATTAATAATGAAATTTTATTCACCTCCAACATTTAAGAGGAAAGAGTTAAAATCAAGATTATTTAATGTACTATCATTACTTGTATAAAATTTCAAGCTTTTTGATTTAGCAATCTCTTCATCTAATATTCTGCTTGTATGATATGCATCTGGGTGTGATTCATGTACTTGTTGCAAAACACTACTACCATCACTACTAGTAGTATTAATACTATTATCATTATTATTTTTAAAAACTTCATCACGTTTATTAATAGCAAATTGGTAAAGCTCTCTACTGGTTGGTCTTTTTGATGGATCCATATCCCAACACCTCTGCATCATTTGCGCATAATCTTCAGGCATTCCAGGTAATATTGGTGGTCGTAAACCTTTTGCACATATATCAAAAATCAAACAATGATTGTGAGCTCTATTGTCAAATGGTGGATGTCCTGCAAATATTTCCCACATTAGTATCCCAACACTATAGATATCTGATTCTTTGGTATTCTTTTTGCCTCTAAGTACTTCAGGTGCAACATATGCTACAATTCCATAGACTTTACCTGATGATTTTTCATCAACTGGTCCACATAATCCCAAATCTGTAATAAAACAACAACCTCCTTCTACAAGTATATTACCACTATGTAAATCACAATGGATTAAATCTTTCCAATGTATCTCATCTAATGCATGGCATAAATAATAAAATATTGTAATTCTGTCTTTTAATGTTAAATGACTTTTTTGCAAATAATCCCTTAAATTTCCCTCTGAAACATAAGGCAAAACAATTGTATAATTTCCATTATTTGTGAATTTGGTTATACCATAGCAAGAAACAATCAGTGATGCTTTAATTTTACAATAATTCATTGCCTGTAATTAAATATAACACCGATTATATTTATTATATAATACAGTACTGTTTATTTTGTTTTAAATGACAACTACCAACCTCATCAAAAAAGGGTTTCCCTGGATTACTTGAATTATTTAAACTTTTTAATATTATATCATACCCTCTTCCAAAATAACTGAATTCCTTTTTATTTTCATCATAATCAACTATTCTTCCTCTTGTCCATGTAGCAGTATAAATTGAACTGAATCCACCTTCTGTCAATTTTGTTATATCATCAAATTGCTCAAAAGGTATCCATTCTAAAATATATCTTGGAAGAGATGATTTAATTTGACATTGTTGAATGAAGTTGTCAACTATGTTATTTCCAGATGTCCAATTGGTGAAAAGACTCTGTAATTGTAAACTAATACAACCTTCACAGAATCTATCAGAGTATTTTGTCAATTTACACTTGTTACATTCTTTTGGTTTGTCTTCTTTATCTCTTGCAATTCTTAATTCCAGCTTATAGATAAACTTTTCCTTACAATATTCTTTTTCATTTTCAAAAAGCTCCTTGTTTTTTTTGACTAATGAAAAAAAATAATCTTTTCTACTTTTTCTATCAGAATTAACCAAAGCATTGTTATACATTTCATTATGAATTTTAAATACAAATTCCCGTCTTTCTGATGATAACAATGAGAATAATTTAGCATATGACATTATATAAAGATATAAATATAAAATTCGAGATTTTGAGAAGAACTCTTCTTTGTAGTATTACAAAAACACGTAATATACAGTGTGTTACAAAAATAATTGGCCAAAAAGCCATGTGATTTAAAACGTGATAACTTTTTGCGTAAACAATAATATCACATTGCATTTTACACATACGTTTGTTATTGTTTTTTCTTACTTGTAATACAGTTTTTAAAAAATTTTATTATCATATTATCACAAATAAAGCTGTAACCATGACATCATCAGATCTAGAATCACAACGTCAGACTATATTACATTTTTGGAAGAAGGGTGTCCATAAATCCCAAGAAATTCATAAATTAACAAGCATTCCACTATCTACTATTAAATATAATATTAAAAAATTGAATGATACAGGAACTTTATCCCATAGACAAAAACCTGGACAACCAAAGAAGGTTACACAAACTGCAGCAAGAACTCTTGGGCAGTTTCTTCAAAGAGATCCTACTCTTTCTTTAAGAAGTTTGGCCAATAAACTATCCAAATTTGATATAAATCTTAGTTATGTTACAATTAAACAACATCTAGATGAGCTTGGTTATAAAAATTCATTACCAATTGGTACACCAATGCTCACAACATCTCATAAAGCTAATTGTGTGGAATGGGCTAAAAAACATTTAAATGATAAATGGAATAAAACTATTTTCACTGATGAAACTGTATTCCAACTATTTAGAAATACAATCATGCAATGGCATAAAAGCCCTAGGCCAATCAGACCACTTCCCAAAAATAGACAAAAAATGTTCGCGTGGGCTGGATTTTGTAGTAGGGGAAAAACAAGTTTATTTTGTTTCACACAAATAATGGATGCCAATTTTTATGTCAAAATTGTTGGAAAACATCTTCCTGAAATTAATAATATGCTTGGAAGTTGTTGGAGATTTCAACAAGATAATGATCCCAAGCATACAAGCCGGGTTGCTAAAGAATTTCTTAATGAAAATGTTCCTATGATCATCGATTGGCCATCCAATAGCCCTGACCTTAATCCAATCAAAAATTTGTGGGCTATTGTCAAAAGGAATGTAGAAAAATGTATGCCAAAAAATTTGGATGACTTGAAACAATTTTTAGTTGAAGAATGGGAATTAATTCCAGACAGTTTATTAATCAATCTTGTTAATTCAATGAAAAATAGATGTGAACTTATAATTGAAAATAATGGGGAAAGAATTTCTTATTAATTTTATATAAATAAAATCATATCATTTCCAACTTTAAATAAAAAAAAACAAAACTAAAATTAATACACTCATTATCGAGTAATAATACTTTTTTTTTGGCCAATTATTTTTGTAACACACTGTAGCTATATTTTCATCAATAAATTTGATAATCGTGTCGATCTCTTCTAATTTTAAAAAATGTCTTCTGATTTTTCTTTAACAAAATCTCCAAATCTGGAATTCGATGAAGCTTCACAAAAAGAACTCGCAAAATTTTTAGAAGGTGAAAATGCAAAAATGCGTCTTCAACAATCTGTTCACACCTTTACTGATCTATGTTGGGACAAATGTATTACCAAGGTTGGTAATAAGATTGAACGCGGTGAAGAAACTTGCTTAACAAATTGTGTTGAAAGATTTTTGGATACAAGTATGTTTATCATCAAGAGATTAGAAAAAACAAAAAATCAACTTTAAAAAATTTTTGTCACCAAGTTAGATGGTTGCGATGATGATGATGATGATGATGATGAAGAGACAATGAGAATTTTAAGAAAGTAAATGTTTTTTGGGTTTTTTAAAATAAAAGAATTGTTAAATGCAATATATTAAAAATAATATGTAAATTTATTAAATATTATAATAATGACAATGATAACACCTTGTAACAGATAATTAGATTAATGATTTGTTAATTTGTGTATTATATTATTGTTAGTAATTTCATTCTGAAAACACATGTTATTTATTTATATACATATTATGTTTAAGAATTGTATTATTTTATCAGATTTTTTTATTGCCACTAATTTAACCCACAATAAAACATTCTATTACATTGTTTATAAATTATAATTTCTGATAAAAAACCAAATGAATCTTATTTTGTTTTTTTTTTTAAAAAAAAAGAGCAATGATAAATACCAAAAAAGAAACTGTTAAAATTCAATTCCTTCGTCTGGATCTGGGTCTGGTGGTAATAATGCAGGTATGATTCCATCAACACTCACCAATCTCTCACTAAACTTGGTTGGTGTGACATATGTTGCTATACGATAATTTGATCTTGGCACACGAACAGGAACTGGTGTACCATCATGATACCAAGCATTAGGAGTAAAATTTGGGTCATTATTCATAGAAGATGGTGAACTTGGTCCAATTGTTGATTGTGTTAAAGGTGTAGTTGATATCGTATTAATATTATTAATATTATTAATATTATTATTATTAGAATAAATTGTTCTATTTGAATTTGTTTGCTGGTTGTTGTTGTTGTTATTATTATTATTATTATTATTATTATCATTGACTGATGTTCTTGTAAATCTAGATCTATTAAACATAGGACTGACTGATGCAACAGTAGAACTTGAGAAAGGTGATTGTAGGGACAGAGATGATGGTGATGATGTGCCAATATTTGTAGTAAATCTATCAGTAGATGAAGGTGTTGTTGATTGAAATACGGAAGATGATGGAAATCCGGAAGAAGGTTGGAATGCAGAAGTTGACTGGAATGCAGAGGCTGATTGTAATGCAGAAGTTGATTGATGTATAGAATTTGATTGGGATATGGGAGATGTTGAAGATAAATAAGATGATGGTGACGTTGATGTAGTTGTTGTTGTCGTTGTTGTTGCAAATATAGGAGATGTTTGTGACCAAGAAAGTGACTGTGATGTGGAAGATGAAGTAGAATCGGGAACTCTAGTATTTACGGGTTTAATGGGTTTCAATTCATCAAGTGTTGCAGGCTTTGATAATTCTATTACTATAAAAATTTTTTTTTAAAGTTTAGGTGGAAAAAAAATAATCTAGAAATAAATTATTTACAATGTATAAAAAACAATTACACATTTTTTCTTTTAAATCTTGAATGTTTTTTTCTTCTTGTTTATATAATGAACATTCGTATAATGTCTTTATAATGTTGCCGATAGGATACATTATAAGAATGGCTTCTGTTTAATAAATCGATCAATGAGTAAAAAATTTATTCATATTATTAAAAATATTACATATATCATCATTTACTTGCCCAATGTAAAAATAATCGTAGCAAAAGGTTTCCAGTCTCTCCACTCTATCAATAAAATATCAAAATGACTATTTTTTCAAGAAAAAACAAAATGTTAGTTCATACATGTAGATAAACATACAAGCAACGAGGATATTGAAAAATACATGTATTGTTTATTTATCTATATCACCTATTAAAAATGATTGAACTAATCATCAGAACCACCAAAAAAACACTATTTGAAGTGATGATTTGTATTGAATAATAATAAGCATAATGGTACTTATTTTCAGGCAACTCCCTTTCTGCTATAAGTTTACGTTCCAAAGGAGATAAATAATATGTTTTAGGAGGTGGGCCAAGAGAAGATTGTGGTTTTGGTCTTGATACTGGAGTAGATTGAACAAGAGGTGAGTCCGCAACTCGATTCCTTAATGTTGATTCGGACGTGTTTCCTATTAGCAGTGAATCATTTGTCCTACCATTCCAAAGATTGTATTGATTTGATAGATGTTGATTATTCATTTTCTTTAAAATGTGGAAATCCAAAGTTTTGGCCGATCATTGAATTTTGAAAAAAAAAAAAGCAAAATCATTTAAAGGTAGAAATATATAAATATTGTACAAATTGTATCAAATCGGTACCTATTTCGGTAACGTACCTTGTATCTCGTTTCTATCATACGTGTTATCTGCAACTATTATACAATTCTACTAATCCTTTTTTACATTTTAAACTATCACATCGTAAAGCTTGACATTGTCAATATCTGCATACAAAAGTATTAATAGGCAACAGTTAATAAACAATAGGCGATGGCATGTTATACTTGGCTCGTTCCTAAATCTTTGACTAACTTCATTTTAATAAAGTCAAAGTAACTTAAAATTTTGCTTTAATACTGTATATATTACAAAAAATTGGACAATCTTGAAGCCACTTGTGAATGAAGTCACCGGGAACCCGTTTCTTCAATATGGGTGGTGATTGTAGTGTTACTTGATTATCTACAGATTTAGTCAAAAAAGGAGTTTGTTTCGCTGTTAAAAAAAAATACTGTTAGTTCCTACTCAATCCATCCACCATGGCTGGTGGCCGTGATCAAATAAACAAATCAAGTCTGCGATTCACTCAAGTGCTGTTGTTTTTGGGCTCATCCCTTATTAGAAGCGTCATGCTAGCAAGGCCAACAAATCTAATTATTGTCATTACGATAGATCAATATCGGTAAAACATAGTCTTTAAAAGGAAATTTTCCAAGCATCGCATGACTTCAAACTCATAGCTTTTTTTTTTGTTAGTAAATTTTAAAAAAAACTCTATCGATAAACTAGAGATATTATTCTACACTATATTCAAAAATGGGAATGATATCTCTTTTTCCGTGGACTAGTAGCATTTAGAAAAATGCGTTTTTCGGAATATGATCAAAAACTCTCTGTACCACCGATATAACTAGAGACACTGACTGTACTATATATACTATATTCAAATATGGGAATAACATCTCTTTTTTTCATGGACTAGTTCAACACACAAGTTATTGACTTTAAAAGAGTTATTGCATCATTATTGTGTCAGTTTATTGTTGTAGTTAGAACTAGAGAAAACAAGTAATACAAGGCTAATTCGTCCTAAGTCTTAAGTAGAAGAGATCAAAACTGAACTTTTAAAAAAATATAAATCATATTCAGAAAAATATGACTCTTCTTCTGAGACCATCACGATGAATCAGGCCTCAAAGTGTAATTATTTCAAAATAATAATCAATCAACTACTACAAACAACGAATTTATTCAGAAGAAATTGAATGTTTAGATTGGTATGCATCAAGAACAATATTATCATTTGGGAAAATGACATAGATAATAGAATTAAAAGAAGATCTAACTAAAAAAAAACAAAAAACATAAATACAAATGAAAAACCTCAAAATCAAAATAAGGATCTTAACACTAACAACAAACAAAATTACATTACAAATATAAACCATTCTATAGAAAATTCAAACAACAATGTATTGCACTAGGTACCCTTAATGGTAGCACAGGTGTTAGGAAATATCAAAGAAAATATAATATGAATCACAATATTTATCTATTTTTCTCTATATGTTCTTGTAATTTCCTTTCAATACGGGTCATAATAATAATAATAATAAAATGTAATAGTAGATCACTCTTAATTCTTTGATATGGTTCACGCCATCTGAAAACGACACCAATAACCTCACAAAATTTTATGATAATGAAAAAAATAAGCTGATAGAATTAAAACTAAAGACTACTTTCATTTTGTATCGTTCATTATTTTATATATGCCTATATATCTATATATAAATTTTAAAATTTCAGACTCTCTTTTATTATCATTCTAGTCGGTAAAATCATGTGATAATTTTTTTTTAATAATTTTGTAAATTTAATCTAACTTTATTATTCTTTATAATGGAACGTGTTTCTAAAAGTAAAACAACTTATAAAATCAAGAAAGAATTTCTAATGGTTTGTTTGGTAGGAAAAGGCTGAATCAATTGAAAATTTAAATGAATATGTACCTTTAGATTTTAAGAATTAAATGGGATAATTACTTTATCACTTTAGAAAATGAATTTGATACGGCCTCTGGTGTGGGATTAATAATAAGAAAATCAAACCAATAGCCACAATTTTTTAATTGTAGAAATTTAAAATGACAAAACGTCACACTTAATTGTAAATCTTTGTTTCAGTAGGTGAAATATCACGTTATCGGCTAAATAAAAGAGAATTGAAGTCTTTGAAGCATTGTAATTTAGTAAATATAATTTATCATCATAGCTATCATATATTTATTTGCTTTAGTGTTATTAACTCTATTATTATTATTATATTTAAAAAAATATAATAGTCTATCGAAAGGTTGATTTATAATTAATGAGCAGAAGACATAAGAATTATTCACTATTTAAAAGTATATATTCAATGAGGCATTATTAAAATTATAAATTACATTTTATTATTGTAATGGTACGATTTTGAAATTAACCTTTGACCGAGGAAACTTAACCACGGTGAATTTAAAGAATCCTCCGTCAGAATTTGTCAGAGAAATTTTTTGTTTCAAAAAATTTTAGCACTATATAAATATAAAAATAGATGCATATACTTTTTATTTATATTGTTTAATAAAATAAACCAATAATTTATCATCCTATAATAAATAATTTATAATTAATATCATCTATACTAATATCAAAAAAAAAAAAAAAAAATAACAGAATAACATTGATAAAGTTTTTCTTTAAGGATAAAATTTTTTATTGCACGCTGGTTGAATTTAGACCATCAACTTTATGAAAATCTTTTCACAAATATCATAGAATAGAGATTATTAACAAATAAAGAATAAAGATTTTAAAAAATAATTCCTTAAATAAATAAATAATACCTAAAATTTCTTGATACATTCTAACTTTCCATTCATCAACTGGAAGGTCTGCATCATTAAACGACCAATCAAATGCTTCATCAGCAATTGGCTCATCTGATTCATCATGATACTGTTCCAAGTATTTATGAGCTAGAGCTTGTTCGGCAGTAATACGTTTTTTTGGATCAAATACAAGCATTTTTTCAAGTAAATCGAGTGCTTTAAAATTTAAAAATCATTATAAAATAGCCTATTATCATTTGTAATTAAATGTGCAATAATTATATATCATTTGATTACCATCAGGATCAGCATTTGTAAACTTTTGTGAGAATGGAATCTTTTCTCTTTTCGGTAATGAGAGTACAAATCTTAAAGTCTACAAATCAAGAAAAACATTGTTTAGTTTTTAAATAACAGGCAAGCCAAAAAACTGAACAAACGAATGAATAAATAAATAATACATTTTCACTACAGATTGTTTTGATCACATCTTCTGGTGGTGTACCAAGTAGTTCAGTAATAATTGAAAATTGGTTTACATCTAAAAAAAAAATTAATAATAATTAATAATTTTCAAAATGTTTTTTTTTATCAAATTAAAATTACAGCTTACGATCTTTCCCAGGAAATAAAGGTTTTCCCTCTAACATTTCTGCAAAGATACAACCAGCACTCCAAATATCCACTATACAATATAAAAATCTAATTATTCAAATAAATAACATTGATATATAATACAATGACATAATTCGTTACCTGCTACATCATATTTTTGCCATGTTAACATAATTTCAGGAGCTCGATAATACCTTGTTGAAACATAACCAGTCATTTGTGGATCTTGAATACGAGCCAGACCAAAATCACAGATCTTTAAAAAATATAATATATTTTATATTTATATGTATGAATGCATGTATGATATTAAATTATTTTTAAAATATATTTTATACAAACCTTCAAGTCACAATTCTCGTTAATTAGAATATTACTAGGTTTCTAAAATGAATATATAATGTGATTATTAATTCTTACTTTTTAAAATATAAAAAATTTATAATTATTACAAACCAAATCTCTGTGAACTACACCAGCTGAATGAACATATTTTAACCCACGCTATATATATAAATATAATATAAAACTTTTCTTTTTTTGAAAAAAAAGAATATTATCAATATACTTTAGAATCTTTACCAATATTTGATATAAGAAATACTGAATAAATTGTTTTTCCAATGGTCGTGAAGTTAACAATCGATGTAAATCTGTTCCTAATAATTCAGTAACAAAATATCTGTATACATTGATATTTAAAACAAATATCAATATCGATTATCATTGATTTTTACCAAAAAAAATTTCATTATGATGAATTGTTTTTTCATTAATTTACACATACATACATATCTTCTAATGGAGAAATAAAAATATCACTTAAACTGATAATCTATATTTATTAAAAGAGATATAAATAATAAACAAATTAGTCATTAGTTCAAAATAATTGATGAATAATAAAAATAATAATCACATTTTCATGTTTTAGATGCTTGAGTAGCTTTAATTCACGATAAGTCCTTTTTGAAAGAACAGATGTGCTAAAAGGCTTCATTATTTTCTTAATGGCGACATTAACTCCAGTAAGTTGGTCTTTTGCTGAACTAATGTATAATAATCGAAAAATTTTAACTTAATGTGAAGCATTACTTAACGTAAATATAACTTTCCGAGCCTACCAAACTAATCCAAATGCACCCATGCCAACTGGTTGAAGATCCACATATCTAAGGTATTTTTTAAAAAGTTTTACTTTACATGTTTACTATTTGAAAATGCTTTAATAATAATAAAATAAGTATAAAAATGCCTTGTAGTAACTTCGAAAACAGTTCCAAATATCGATAACTTCACAAAATCAGCCATCAAAAGAAAAATCAAAAAAAAATAACTTGTCGGAAAAATTTCAATTTGAAAAAAATTCTAATCGTTTAAAGATTAGATCAATTAACTTAATTTGTATAGTGATAGTGAAAGCAAAGCCATTCATTCATTTAATATTTTTTTGTGTGCATCGATCGGCATTTCTATTTTAATCAAATATGTATGC